TATAGCGCCAAATCACAACAAAAGACGCCTCAAGGCGCTTATGTGCTGAGTGGCAGTTCAGAGTACCCAGCCTTCTTAGAGTCCCTGGGTGGGGTGCTGGAAGGTGCTCCACCTGGAGACTCTGTTGTCCTGCTGGGAGACTTCAATGCTCACGTGGGTAACAACAGCGAGACCTGGAAGGGCGTGATTTGGAGGATCGGCCTCCCTCATCAGAACCCGAGCAGTGTTTTGTTATTGGACTTCTGTGCAAATCACAGTTTGGCCAAAACGAACACCTTGTTCGAACATAAGAGTGTCCATAAGTGCACGTGGCATCAGGACGCTCTAGGTCCTGGTGCCACGTGCACTCGATGATCGATTTTGTAATCGTATCACCAGACCTGCGACCATATGTTCTGGACACTCGGGTAAAGAGAGGGGCTGAGCTGTCAACTGATCACCACCTGGTGGTGAGTTGGATCAGGTGGCGGGGGAGGACGCTGGACAGACCCGGTGCACCTAAACACGTAGTGAGGGTGTGCTGGGAACGTCTAGCAGAGGCCCCAGTCCGCGAGATCTTCAACGCACACCTCCGGCAGAGCTTCAACAGCATTCCGAGGGAGACTGGAGACTTAAAATCTACAAGCCACTGCTGCACTGAGGTAACATTTTGTACGCAGGCAAAAGAAGTCCACTGTCAAACTTGAAAGTTGCGTTTTAGGGTTTATTCATCCAGTTTGGCGAGCAATAACAAGGATCCATTTTTGTTGCTTCCTGCTGTTTCTCCTGCTCTGGGGGAAAAAAAAACATAGGCCCACCCCAGTGCATGCTGGTCCTATACCAGTCTCTTTATTTATAGAAAAATGGCCCTACAGTTCTTCCTGACTAACTTAACAAGATAAACAACAAAACAAAACAAAACAATGAAACAAGTATTAACCTACAAATAAAACTTGTGAATAACCCAAAAAAAGCAAAAAAGTAAACCAACAACAAACTTTAAGAAATTTCAAAATAATTAAAAAAAAAAAGTTTTTAATGAAAACCAGTAAACAACCATATAATACGGTGGTGGGGAAATCAAATGCACCGAATCTTCAAAAAACGTCAGCAAATAGAAAAATGCTGCAAAAGCTCACAAAGTACAATCACAATGTTTTTCTTTCCTTGACGTTTTTCAGGGAAAAAAACACTGATGTTGTGGAGGTTTTTAAAAAAACCTCACAAAAAAGACAAATACGATGCACTTGGCGTTGCCGGGTTAACTTTTATCTGGCCTGGTACCATCACACATACGGTACAAGGTGCTTTGAGGAAATCTTTAGTAAACACAGTTTTATTTATGAAATTTTTAATCCCAACCTTCATCAATATTCTTACATTTACACACTTTAGGCCACAAAACACAAACTGCTGTATTATGTGAAGGACCACTTTGCCTTGGTTAACCAAAAAAAGGTTCGATCTTATTAAACTAGCCTCAGTGACTCCTAATCCCCCCCCATTAATAACCATAAAGCCTCATCAAACAGACATGGAACCGCCTTAAGAACCACTAGTCTCCTCCAAGGATTCCTGAAACTTCTGAAGGACTTGAGAGTAAATAAGAAAGGAGAGAGGAGGAGAAAAAGAGACAGGGTTTGATAATTACTTTCAGTCAAGCTTGTCTCCACCTCCTCGTGATTATACCGAAGGCTAAATCTAATCTTAACTGCTTACCAGCAAATTATGATGCAGCAAACTCTTTCAGTCCGGGCAGGTCGTGACGAGCCTGATTATTACCATTAAGCCCTCATAAAGAGGCAGAGGTCCCGCAAACGCTTTGAAACAGTAAGAGTTCTTTGGCAGGTTTGTTTTAAAGACCGTGCCCTTTTCAAAAGCAGAGATTGCAAATTAATTTTCCCCCACTATTTTGTAACTTAAAGGTTTGCTGTAGCCATAACAGGCTGAAAATGTTTGATTTGATGGCTTTGTTTTAATCTGTTCGAACCCTAAATATGTGGACAAAACGACTATTTCAGTCTCCACATTTCAGTGTAAAACATAATCACAAATTTTCCTCTAGGTTCTCTAATGAGTCTATCTCAGAAGTTCTATGTTAGCTTCACTGAAACTGAAGAAGTGGACTCTTATAAATCACATAAAGCTCAGTGCTTGTTTGGGTGAATTTAATATTCCCCAGTTATTATTTGGGTTGAGAAAGCAAAAGGAGTTCGTGTAGCATTTTCTATCATGTTTTTAAACAACATTCAGGAAACTGTGTGCTGTATAATTAATGCTTACATAATGCTGTTAACTGCGGTTTGACTGTCGTGACTCATCTTCACCACATCATCAAAACCAAATGCTTCAAAGCTCCTTTTGAACTCGACTCTGATGTTTGAAAGCATTTCTTCTGCTAACCTCAGGCCATATCTTTACTTCAGTTAATCTTCCAGTTCACTGTGCACCAATGAGCAGCTGCTCGGCCCCAGATGATAAGGTGTGGAAGTGCACTCAAGTGGATGATTCATCTGCAAATGAAAAAACTGGCACAGGAAGCCAAATACTGTCAAACTGCTGTTTATTGGTCCTCTCATCATCAAACGCATCGTTATGAACTGCAGGTCTGTTCTCGAGTTGTTTACATGTGCGGTAATTTTATAAGCGAGGAGATTAAAATAAAATGATGCAAATAAAGAGTTTTAACCTCCTGACATTCACCAAGTTGCCAGGAAATTGTTTAGGTGTAGGTTTAGGGCTGGGTAGGATTTTAGCCATTTGCTAAATATGGTTTATGTCATACATGAAAGGTTGCTGGTTCCTGTCAGAGACACAATTCCTACCTACCTGCTGTGGTGACCCCTTGTGGCACAGGAGCAGCAGATGGTAGCGATGTGGCATTCAAATTAAAAGTCAGGAGTGAAAAACCGTGATGCCGAGATGCAACTACCTTTACCTTTGTGGACCTGACCCTGATGAATTTGGCTTTGCTGCTGGCGATGTTTCAGTCTGGCATTCTTTGTCTTGCACTCAGTGTTGGCTGGACCCAGTTGTTTTTTAAAGGATGCTCAGAATAGATACTCTTTTATTCCTCACAAAAGACTCTGAAAGAGTTCGTACATGTACAAAAGGTGCAGGCCACCTTAAAACTGCCCTCCTGTTGGTGGTATGTGATAATGTTGGGAAAGAAAGGAAGGACTATGGGATGTGAAGGGTCACTTGTAGTTCATAGGCAGTGGGATCATCTGAGAACATGCAAGATTTATCAGCAGCTCTGTGCAGGGGTCAGGTACAGCCGGGTAAGTCGGGTCACTGCATCTCCCAGAACAAACTGACCTCTCCCTAATCCCAATACACTTCCTGCCAGAGGGAGGGGAGGGGGCTGCACTTTGTTGGTCTTCACCATGGGAATCCCTTTGGAGGAGCTGAAATGTTGATAACAAACTGCTGAGTCTCAGTGTGACATTGCAGAGGCAACAACAACACATTTAAGTTGTGGATATGAAAATGCACTTAAAGTGGACTTATTGTGGTTTTCCTTTTTCTCTGTGACATTTATACAGTTCAGTGATGGATGCTCACATTAACCATCACAACTACTTTCAAATAAAATAGGTCAGAATAAAGTCAAGTAATCCTTGTGAGCCAAACACTCGGCATGATGCCAGTGACATGTGATCTGCTTAATATGATCTTTTCGGGCAAACAACTCTGACTCTCTGCTTATGAGAAGCAGCCAATCAGAGAAAAGTTGGCTTACAGAGAGAAGCACTAAAAGCCTGTTGGTCACAGAAGAACAATGAACTGAGGAGCTGCACCAAGGCCAATTATACGATAAATAAGAGTTTTTCTTTAATAGAAACATACTTTTAGCTGCTGCCTTACAAGTAGAGAAGCTTGCGACCACTCTTGAATCTGTGATCTTTCACAGATAAGGCGAATGTTACAACCACTAATTACTATTGTTCTTTAATTATTTTTTTTAAGAAGGATTACTTTGAACAGTTCACATGAAAATCCTGAATTCAAATGATTCAAGGAATCAAAAACTAAAACTTTTCAAAGCCTTTTGTTAAAGCTCATAAGTTCACCTGCAAACACTGTGACGTGACAGCCCTGCTGTCGACACTGACAAGGATGAGATTCCCCTGTGACAGAGAGGAGAGCAAGTCTCTGAAGAGAAACTAATAGCTTTACAACATGAACGCCCCTCTCCTTTTATTTGACATGAACTAACTTTTTAGCTCTGGTTTTATGTGGAGCATCAACTCTTTGCAAACATTGCCATCTAGTGTCAAACTTTAGGTAATGCCGTGCAGAAAATATGGTTATTACACATTCACCAAACCTTTCTGCTGTACTTAAACAGATGTAAACACATACAGATAAATACAATGACTTACTATTTCTGAAGCCCTCAGAGATTAAACATTAAAACATAAACAGTGGAGCATTGAGAAGCGGGTAAACATTTTTTGGAGTCAACAGTTTTTCCTAAAATGTGAAACAAGTTGAGTTTTTTTTTTCATTTTTATTTTGTAAAATCTGGTCCAATAAACAGATGACAGTTTCTTCAGTCTGTGAATCAACAGGTGCGTCCCGCCTACCAACAAGTCCTCGGAAACACGTGAATAAAGTGAACAGCAGGGGGCGCTCTAAAGCAACGACTGACGAAAGACGGAGCGCAAGAATGAAGTATTGCAACTAAAAGAAGCGCAGAGAGAAATTTCCGTTCCTAACAATATCAGAGTATTTTCTTTTTTTTACTAAATGCATAAATAAAATAAAATGAATCATTTTGTGTGAAGGATTGAAAAAAATGAGCTTCACGTTTGGAGACACCGCTCGGTCACACATATGCAGCAGCACAGCAGTGATAAAATGATCATAAAGCAGCATTAAGTGTTTTATGATCCTAAAGAAATAAATGAAAATAAAGACGCGTGCACCACAGAGCTTTAATAAAGCGAGTCGTTAGGAACAGGTACGTTTTCTTCACGCTGCTCTGAGTGCACACCGCTCGCGCGTGCACGTGCGTTCAGATGCGTGTGCGCGCAGGCGGAGGATCGCCGCGGAGCCGTACCGTGTAGCAGGCACAAGCCGCTGGGCGCGCAGGAGAAGCCGCAAAAAAATCCAGCAGCCGCTGCTTGAAGCTGCCAGGAGCGCAGAGAACGTGTCGGAACTTCAGTGCACACGGTAAGAGCTGCTCCATCGCCCCACTCTCCTCTTTTACTGCCCCACGGAGCCGCTCACATGCTCGTGGCTCTTTTATTTTCTTTATTCCTTTTGTCTTTTCCCATCTCTCCGTTTGGACAGCCGCGCGGAGCGAGTGCAGGGGATGAGACAAAGGACGTGGAGATGTCGTGAAAAAAGAAGGAAAACAAATATTTTTTAGAAAGGGAGAAATTAGGAAACTGTAAAATTCTGTTTTCTTCTGTGCTCTTTTTTTTTCTCTTTTTCTTTTCCAGGCGACAAAATGTGCACGAGTTTAAAAAGGGGTGTGTACAGTCTGGGAGAGCACGCGCTCAGACACGGTCTCGTTTTTCTCACTTTTATTGAGGGAAAAAAGCAAAAATCACCTCGACAGCGCTCAAAGTGCGATCGAGCAGCGTGCTCTTTATTATTTATTGATTGCTTTGATATCGTTTATGATTATATAATTTCCACAGACTGCTCCGCACCGCAGAGGGGAGGGGGGATTTGGGGCTCGGGGGTGGGGTGGGGGTGCCCCCCTCATAATTCGCAGCCAGTAAACAGTTGAACATCCAGAAATAAGAAGAGTGCTCTTCTGCTCGCCCCACCTCTTTGTCTTTGTGGAGGTGTGACACCGTTCTGCCTGAATGCGACACGCACGCGCGCACATGCACGCACTCAGTGACTCTTATCACATGCACTCTCTAACCACATCAGTCCGTGTCATGATTCAGATGAATTATTGATCTCATATTCTCGTTTTATTGCACTCAGAAGGAGTATGGAGGAGGGATGGGGGGTTGAGGAGCCTCTGTGGGATGATGTTGATGAGGAGGAGGAGGATGAAAAGGAGGAGGGTGGGGGTGGCTGATGGAGAATCTAAGCTGCATTCTCTCCCGCACAAACACAGAGTTCATCTTTTCACTCGTCTTCTTGTTTCTGCCGCTGCTCGAATGTATCGGTTTGCTTACGCAGCGAGTCAAACTTTATTAGCCGTACCCCGCCGGTTAATTGCCTGGTCCTTTGTTTGCCGCGGCACGCATGCGCATTAGATGTAGGGTGTGGATGGGAGAGATGCCACCTTGCGTATCAATAGGATGGAGAGGAGGAGGACAGTCTTTCGGGTTTTGGTTTAGTTGTTTATTTGCGTGAAAAAAAAAAGACAATAAACGATTAAAATGTGACGAGGAGGGGTTGTGTGTCTGTGCGCGTGTATTTTGGGTTGTCTGCGTGTTTTTTCCCCTCCGTTTCTCGGTGATGTGACGCTGTGGATTGTGTGTGCGGATGATGGTTTGTGTGTGAATGGCGCCTCAGTTGTGGTGGTGCTGTATCGGAATTGGACTGTGCTGCAGCGATGTGCTGAAATAACTGATTAATCGGGTATTGTAATGATTAATTATGATAATGACTTCACCTGAAATCACAATGAAACCGATGCAGAAATGACAAACAGCATTATTTGCTTAAAGAAGGTTTTGTTGGACAATTTTAATGATTTTCTGGCAAACTGTCACCTGCACAGTTCATGCACTGTAGCAACAGATAGTTAGGACATTCATAGACATTCAGTCTTACAGCTCTGAGCCCACCAACAGCTGAAGTCAACATACAGGAATCTGCAGTCTGTGGGAGTTTTTTGCTTGTGTTGACTTACTGCTGAAATCAACCTTTTACCTGACACAGCAAGTAAAGGTGTGCAGCGAGGGCGCGTCACACCTAGGGTTGTAAAATTAGTCCAATTCAGATTTCATTGACATTTTCCTCCTTTAACAATTATTAAAGGAAGATAATGAAGATAACGTTCGCACTGTGCTGCTCTGCGTTTCCTAACAGTGCTCTGACCCTGTTGGTGTTTACTTCATTTCTTTCTATATTTCCATTCCTATTTCAGATGAATTACAATCAAATTTCAAGGGTACGTTGCAACAGTTAAAGAGATGCGTTCAATAAACCCAGTCAGTCCACAAACAGTCCCGTTAACTGTGATCTCAGCCGTGGCCAAAATAACTGTGATTGTAATTGTTGCCGTAATCAAACAACAGTTTACTGTAGCAGCAGTTTGTAGGAAATCACTGATGAATGCAGAGACAATTTCCATTTCTAAACTGACTCACTGTCTTTTCCACTCTTGCCCAGTGATGGGAAGATTTACAGTTTGATGCTTCAAAGGCGATAGCAGATAGGGAGCGAGTGTAATTGGTCTTGGTGGGTGGGCGGCCGGGGTTAATCAACAGAGTGGGTTTACGAAACTCTGCGTGAGATTAGAATTTAAGAATATGGATGAGCATGTTCACATCATATCCACTGATATTCCATAATTAACATATAGAGATTTTATAGCATTTGTTTTCATCTCGTCATTAATTATTTCTGCACGTTTGCAAACACGGCCTCAGTATGAATTCAAACAGACAATAATGACATTTGTGATGAGGGATAGATGGTTTAAAACGCCTTTTTCAAAATGAATCCCATCGATTCTGATATTATAGTCTCAGGATGGTGGGATTTATTACAGGGTGACACATTAAATGCTCTGATTGCTTTTTTGTGTGGAACACACCATGAATAGTTACCTAAGCTGACAGTTTGCTTAAAATGTCAGCAGACAAGATCTGGGAAGTGTTTGTTTTTGGCTGAGGATGTTAGCCCTCGGCCAGAGTGCTAATGTACAACGGAGGCACTTGGAAACAAATCATCACTTCCTCTACATGAAAAGAGAGCTGGACCCGCATCACCTAGGTGATGTGTTTGCTTGTGTTGTAGATGTGCTGTTAAAAGTGCCTCCATCTGACAATACAAGTAAAAGGAGACCCTGACCACGTCAGGGGATGTAGAAACTCTTAATACAGATGTGCATTTCAGCTATACAGTCCTACACAGTGACCCAGACACTGCTTTATGTTTGGTGTGATCTGTCTTCATTACACTCTTGTGTTGTTTCTGTCTGTGACACTCAATAATGAGCTTTCATGTGCTGATGTTGCACCAGCGATGTAATAAAACAAAACATTTAAAGATATTTAAATAGGAGAATGCTATTTCTTCCTGTTAAAAGGGAGTTTTTCCTTCCCACTGTTGCCAAAGTGCTGCTCACAGGGGGTCATGTGATTGTTGGGTTTTCTCTGTATGTATCATTGTAGGGTCTACCTTACAATATAAAGCTCTTTGAGGTGATTGTTGTTGTGATTTGGTGCTCTATAAATAAAATTAAATAGAATCAAATTGAATAAAAAAAATGATACGGAGCATTTTGATTGGTTGAAATGTGACTGGGAATACTTCTTGTCCTTTGAATGACTCTTATTACAGGTGAGGGTATTTTTGAGAGAAATATTACCTTTATTAAGATTTACAATCAGATTGGATTCACAGAAAACATCTCAGACACGAGGTTGGTTTCTGTAATTTTCCCAATAATTGGTGATCGGTGCTTAAAGGACAAGTACGTAAGACTTTGTGACATCTAGCAGTGAAGTTGTAGATTGAAACTGACTGACTCCTCCTCATTTACTTCTACCTTTCCAAGCCTGAATGAGATGTTGGTCATCAGTTTAACATAAAACAATCTAGACCTGAGGCACGTTTAATCCTGCTGTGTTTTCCATCATATTCTGGTATTCTGGACACTGCCTTGGCTCATCTGGACTCATGTGGACAAATAATTTCCCCCAGGGATCAATAAAGTATTCTGATGATTCTGATGTGAAAACACGGCAGCCCACTACGGCAGGTTCCCTGTAAGAAGATCCCCCCCCCTCCCTGTGAACATAAGAAAGTCCCACAGCTAATTTAAATATAAAGATTTCCAGTCATTTGCAGTGGTAAAAATATTCTGAATACTCATAGCTTTGCACTCCTCGGTTTGTGTTTGCTACTGCAACCTCCTCATGAGTGGTGTTGCAGGATCACCATGGTAATGGGGGTCTTGTAGTAATGGTAAATGGCCTGTATTTGTATATCGCTTTACTAGTCCCTAAGGACCCCAAAGCGCTTTACACATCCACCCATCCACACACTAGTGATGGCAGCTACATTGTAGCCACAGCCACCCTGGGGCGCACTGACAGAGGCGAGGCTGCCGGACACTGGCGCCACCGGGCCCTCTGACCACCACCAGTAGGCAACGGGTGAAGTGTCTCGCCTAAGGACACAACAACCAAGACTGTCCGAGCTGGGGCTCGAACCGGCAACCTTCCGATTACAAGGCGAACTCCCAACTCTTGAGCCACGATCATGCGTGTTGCCTGTCTGGCTGTTGATTGGCTGACATAAATTCATCCCCGACTCTGTTCATTCATCTTTGCCAGATGGAGACAAACGGCAACCTGATGAAAAGTTAGGATGGTGACTCATCGGTTACCGCCGCTGTCTGCTGCTCAGTGTGTGACTGTGAATACGTTACGGAGAGGAGAGCAGACACGAAGCAATGATACCTCACCCACCCCTGTCTGTGTTACACACATCGTGTACTCATGCAAAAGTAACCGGACGATGAGTCATAGGTGATTATCAGTGTGTGTCCACATACTTGCAGTGTACCTGACAGACTAAGGGACTGATAATGAGGGGGTGAGGGACATTTTGTCTACATGAATTTGCAGGTCTTAGAGGGTCCGTCTCTCTTTATATGATTTTTATTTATTTTTTATTTCATTGTTTGGTCATGTGATCAGCAGGATCACTTTCACACAATCCTGCATCAGTCTTAATTAAGGCATCATGCTGTGTGTAATGGAGAAACAGGCTGGTTAACTTAAGGGAGCGGAGATAAAGCAGAACAATGGGAGGCTGCAGCTGTGTAGCACATATGAACAACTGTGTGTGTGTGCGAGAAGCTGTGTAATGGGTACAGCTGCAGGTTACGTCTGCTTTAGCGTTAGCAGACATTCAGAAAAGATGGTGTAATTACATTAACCCAGCTTAATAAAAATGTGATTTTAGGACTCAAAATAAGCTGAAATCATTTGGTTACGTGTTGCACAACACTGTGTCTATCTTTG